GTAAACCAAATAATAATTCTTTGGCAAATAATTTGCCAAGTAAGCAATAAAATTCAAACTGGTTTACTTGACATACTTGCTATACTATTGCAAGTTATGCAAAGCTACTGGAAACAGTTAAAATAAGTATATGCATAAATGATATAAAATTAAATATAATTAAAAATAATCCATTTAATAATGCATTATAATATGATAAATATATCAAGTAGCTTATGTCTTTATGTTTAGTTTGAATCATATAAATGTGATGCATTATAACAAACATATCATTTATAGTCTTATTAGACACAGAAAAACAGAAGAATGCGGTAAGCAGTGTTTACTTAAGTTAAAAGTAATCGTAATTGTACGAGCTATGACGCCATCTTTAAAAGCGCATTCGTAACAACCATGGCGCAGCAAAAGCTATGAAAAAAAAATCATGGAAATTTCATGGGATTTCAATTTTCATGAAATTCACCCATGGAAATTCCAGTTTTTTATGGGAAAACCATGGTTTACTCATGGAATTCCATGGGTTTTCCATGGAATATTTCCGTAAGGGTACCTTCAATATAATTACATCACAATCTTTTTGACTAAAAAAAAACTGGCTACAAGGAGGGGTCAGCATTATACACTAACAAGTCCGGTATGAGATCAAATTCTCCACTGTTGGATAATGTTCTTCCTTCTGACTCTGATGATTCACTTTGAAGTTTATTTACCTCAGCTTCAGGTTAATTTCTTAAAGCCCCCACTGATTCACAGTCCTTTTAATTACACATTGTATACAGCAGGTGATCTTGGAAAAGGAGGATGAGCTTATTGGTTTCTCTTGGGCTTCATGGACTGACTAGTAGTAGTGGTCATTATTATAGATTCTTAAGAAAAAAAGTTAGTATTAACAACAAAGATTGTAATACCAGAGGTTGTTGGAAGAAAAAAAATTAAACAAAAAACAGTAAAATTACTGGACGGCTCAACTGAGTGTTTTGGGAAGAGGATATTTTGTCGGTCTGTGTTATGGTTATAAATCTTATATCCATAAAAGTCTGTCTATGTTTTGCCTCTTCTGCTGCTTTGTTAGTAGCTTTAGCACGGTTTTTAGCACCGAAAGATTTCTTTTGACCTATTTTTTAAAAACACCTAAAATATTTTTTAATTTATTATTAGTTTATAAATAAAGGTTTCAATAACATATTTCCCCATTCATGCAGATCGGAAGTTTTACTAGAAAAACGCAATTTTTTAAAAGAATTATTGAATGAAAGAACATAAATTTCAAATTAGAAATTTGTATTTGTATTTTATTTACGGTTTTGGCGTTGGAGTGTTTCAACAGTCACTGCTTCTTGTATTTTTGTTATTTTTCTTTTTAAAGCTGCTCTGTTGCCATATTTTTACGTTCTAATTAAGGTGGTTATCAGGTAAAAAAATAGCGATTTTTGTGAAAAAATGTGTTTTTTAGTTTATCAGCCAACTTTGTTTAAAATTTAATTGGCTTTTTAACCATATATAACATGATATGGGTTAATTAATAAAAAAATGTAAAAAAATTGTTTTAGTTGGTAAGAGTAAAAAAAATTTACTTAACAACCGCATAGCAACCAATAATTTTTTATAGATATATTACCCAAAGACCTAGATTTAAACAATTATTTCTTTTCATGGGTCTGTATAATTAACTAAACTTTTGAACCAGAGTTATTTTTAGCAAAGCCGTATGTTTTGATGTTATTTGTTAAGCAGAAAGAAAAAAGTTTAAAGTTGCCTGGATGGCGCAACACAAAATCCAAATGAGGCTTTCAACCAGATAATCTGGAAAAAGTGTCCAAAAAATATTTTTGTTACTAAAAAGGTACTAGATCTTGGTGTTGCTTCAGCTGTAATAAATTACAATGATGGTTTGAGAGGTTTCACAAGAATTTTTGATTATTTGCAGCTCTTGCCTGGAAGTTTTATGATCCAAGGATCGTGGAAGAAGGACGTATCAAGAGTAAAGAACACGATTAAAAATTCAACTCCAAAGCAAAAAAGGGCTAGAAGGAAAAGGAGATGTATCAGGAAGGGTTATATTGATAAGGAGAAAGAAAAAGAGGGAGTAGACTCTTATATTACAGGAAATTTTTAATTAATAAATTGTTTTTAAACTTTGAAGCTTGATTTCTCAATTGTTTGTTTTTGCCTGACTGCAATAAGCGAATCATTCATATCTTTTTAACCAGATATGCAATTGAGTTCAAATTTTCAGGGTTGTTTCTTTATAGATAGAACTGCAATAGCTTACTAGAACTAATCTTAAGCTTGTTTCCATTTGAATATATTCATATTTTACCTTTTTTTTTTGTATCAATAATTTCCGTTAAAATTGAAAAAGCTGCCATTTTAAAAATAATAATTATTTTTAGTTTTTCTAGTAAGCTTTTGTTTAATACACTATAATCTATCAGTGTTGTAAGTTTTGGCTTATAATGTCATAAAGAGGCTGAGAAAATGTTGTTTTCTTTTTTCATTGATTTTTTTGCATTTTATGCTGATTCAGCAAAAAAAAAAAAGGAAATTATTTTTTTTTTATCATTTTTAATTATATTAATAAGTATGTTTCTTTTAAACTAACTTTGGTATATGATTAAGTTGGCAATCAAAAAATATTTTTTTTACCTGATAACCACCTTAAAGACATCTAGATTTTGTGATTGCGTTTGCTGGGGAGTTGGCATTTCTATTGAATTAACTAATGAATCAAAACTATTTATTTTCATATTTAAATATTTTATTTTGTATCCTATAAAATATTAATTTTATGATAGAAATATAAAGTAAACAGAAGTAAAGTAAAAAAAAAATCGTTTGTGGCGTATAAATTTCTATATGCAGGATCTAACTTCATTTATGCATGTGATCCGATGGCGATCATTTTTTTTCATAATTTTTTAATTTTTCGGATTTTAGAATTTCTCTAAATTTTCAGAACTTTGGAACTTTATTCAGAAGAGTCACAAGAAGCCTAAAATAAAGAAATTTGCAATTCGATTAAATCTCCGTGCAAAACTTTAAGAGCTAATGTGATGAGAAATCAGTTCAATCACCTTCAAATTAGATTGGACCCTATAGTATCCTCTACGAGCTTCGAGAATTACAAAAAAATATCGAACATGTAACGGCTGATGTTCTTGCTTTACGCGTTACTAATTAATTGATAAAAATTTAATTTTTGCCAGTTTTGCACAAATATATTATCAAAGGAAAATTATTGTTTACTTTGATAATATATTTGTCTTCACAAAATGTTTAAAGAAGTTAAAGTATTTTCTCTAAATAATATTAGAATGGCTCTTATTAGGGTTAAGGTTAGTGCTTCACCAAACATTTTGTGTTATTATTAATAATATTGGTTGTTAGTAATACCGAATTTTTCTTAAACCTTCTCATCTTTATTTTGACGTTTTAAAAGAACTTTTTAACCTCCAGTCCTTTTACTTGATATTTGGTTGGATAATTTCTTTAACAAAGTTTTAGTTAAATTCAGCATTGTAAATAGAAATTTCTGTCATAAAATTTATCAAATATTCACTATATAAATAAACCCTGTCTAAAAATAAAAAAAAACTGTCTAAAAACATCATTCACAAAAACTTAGTTTATGTGGTCAACCAAATATGATTTTTTTTTTTAATTCGACCAAATTAATAGTGAATTTCCTATAATACTTTAATAAAATTAACCACTCTTGATTTTACAAAATTTACAAAAATTTACAAATTTACAAAAAATAAATAATTGATACACCCTATCCTTACATGCTTAATCCAGCTAATAAGATACCGATTCCCAGTGGGCATTTCGACGTCGAACGAACGTCGAGCGACGTCGGATCTAGACGTCGGATCGACGTTGGGTTTACGTTGGAAATGGAAATGTCATTTGACGTCGGTTAAACTGACATCGCGCGACGTCGGCATTTCGATGTAAATCCAACGTGTTTTTTGAAAACTAAAAAGCGTTGCCTTATGCAGGAGTCGAACCTCGGTCTAATAGATTCTAAATCCTACGCGCTTACCACAACACCACAGGGACATATTACTCCTTGTGTTTATTTAGTAATCTATACTTGTAGCTATTTAGGAATTATTACTTTGATAAGAAATAATTTTGTTTAAATATTATATAAATATTAAAACGAATAGTTATATATTATAAAAATGCATACTCGAAAATGTTAATAGTTAAAAAACTATGCTAGTGCATCATACAAAACCTCATGATGTTTTATCAACCATTATTCAAACTTCTTTCCATTATTAAAAAACACGCTTAGTTCACATATTTATTGAAGAGCGCAATTGCACACATATTGTTGGGTTTGGATTAAATTTTCATCAGCGATGTCTTACAACGTTGTTCCGACGTCGTTTTAAGGACGTTGGATTGACGTCGGAAGACGTCAAAAGACATCGGAGTACGTTAATATTATGACGTTGCCCGACGTCTTTTTATCGACGTTGGATCGATGTCAGTACTGCGACGTTTTTTGGACGTCTTTTATAAGATGTCGGAACAACGTCAAAATACATTGAAACGACGTCAGGGGATGTTGAGATAAAGACATCGCCCGACGTCATTTTACTGACATCGGAACAACGTCGGAATAGGTCTTTTGACATCGCTGATGAAAATTGTACGTAAATCCGACGTCGGATTGACGTCGGGTGCCCACTGGGTTAGAGTGGTCAGATTTAATTTTTGATTTTGAAAATAAATTCCTGGACCCAGAAAAACTTTAAAGACATGTTAAATTAAAGTTTTTTCATAAATAAATAATTTTGGCCATTTTATAAGGTTTCTGAGGCACTGTGCAGCGTGAAACATTAAACATTAATTGGAGTATTAATATTTAGATAGAAACATAAATAATGATAAACTAGTTTACTATTTACCTTTTTCACCCTAAATATATACGAAGAACTATTAACAACAATTAATAAAATAAATCAATTAATAAAAATAAATACAAACATAATCAATGTTATTAAATTATGCTATTCTGAATGAAAACCACTTTTCGTTGTTGCTTCAAACAAAGAACTTCTAGTCATGTTAGATAAGGACCTTGAAATTTCTTTTCGGATATCTTTTCTATAGTATGCGTAAAAAATTGGATCTAAACAAGGGTTAAACAAAAGAATACTATATGATGCAAGAGGAATATATTGATGAACGCGTATACCACTTTGCAGCATAATTTCAACCACTAATGTTGGAATCCAACAAACAAAAAAACTTATTGCTACCATTACATTTACTCTCAATGCTACAGGATTTCTTGATTTTTGACCCGATAGTTTTTGTTTTACAAGAAAAATAATTTTAGCATACACAAAGCTTATTAATGTTCCAACCATCACTACCATACTAAACATACTTATCGTAAATATTAAGTTGATTTTTGCGGAAAACGTTTTACTAACACGGATGTTCAATTGCCATGTCAATGGAATTGCTGTGAGAAACGCTGTGAGAACCCAGCCACTTGCAATTATGTTTCTTGCCCTTCGCTTTGATAAAAACGCACGATATTTAAATGGCGACGTAATCGAAAAAAAACGGTCACCTGCAATTAAGACTAGACTAATAACTGAGGCTAAAGTTGTAAAACTTAAAAGACTGCCGCAAAATATGTAACAGTAACGGCCTTTAATAAAAGCACAATATTCGCATGGTGGAACAATAATACCAACAAGTATATCACTTAAAATCAAAGATATTACAAAGTAATTTTGTTTAGTACGTAAATGTTTACTCGTGTAAAAGCACCAAAACACAACGGCGTTTCCCACCACAATAATCACCACTTCGATTGCTAAGAACGACCAAAAAACAAGTAGATGGGATGTTTTTATTTTAAAGTTACTCTCCGTTGAATTCATTTATTCAATAAAACGTTTTTAAATGACTTTAACTTTAAAAAAAAAGTAATAAAAAAGTTTTTAAAACAATTTAAATCTCTCATTGAATAAAGTTAAGGAAATTTTTTTTTAAAAAAAAGCAAAAAACTTTCGTAAAGATAAAATTAAAAAAAAAAATCAAATTCTTTCAATAAATAAACATACACTAGAAATTAAAAAAAAAAAATCAATTGAATTTCTATTGCAGTAACTAGCAAAAAAAAGTCGTACGGTAATCATAAATGTTTCATTTTTAACTTTGGTTACACTCGTAACAACTTTATCAAAAATTCTCTTATTTTCTTTAACCCTTAATTAAACTTTTAGCAATTAGCTTGAAAGCTGTTGGTCTGATGAATAAAATAAGCTAAAAATATTTATTCTGACAATAAAATAGCAAATTTATGACCGAAAATGCCATTTAACTGACGTTACGCAGAAAACTTAAGAAGAAAAATGTCTCATCTTTAAGAATATAAATTTTGCAAAACAATATTGTCAATTATATTGAAAATTTTTACAAGATATTTTTAACCTAATTCTTAATAGCAAAATAAAACAAGTTTCATTTGAGCTGAACAACTATGAAAACTAAACGGGTTATCTTAATACCATTAAACATTTAACTTACGCTCCCTTGATGTAACGTAATTCCTTTGAAATGAGCTCATATCTCTGCAACAAAAAATAGTTTTTAGCTGATAACTTACAGAAAAAGAGTGTATTGCTTAATGCAGCTGAAAAAGTAGCTAAACTCATATAAGGTTGTTACTAAGTTCAGTAAAACCATATGTGGCTATCGTATATTATAAATTACTTTTAGAGGTAGGAAATTGTTCGCATGTCTTCATATTAAATGCTATGTGGATCTAGTAAATTTCAAATGTAACTTTAGCCAATTTAAAAAGCCATATCAAAAGCGATTAACCTTCGTAAAGATCTCTTAAAGGTGATTAAATATAATATCTGAACCAAAATAATTTTGGTTCATTTATCATATTTGATCGGCTAACTTAAACTGCTTTAGTAAATTTCATTGTGCATCTTATCCAGCGACTCTCATCCGTCCAAGCTGAAACTAGAGCATTGCCATCCAAAACAGACGACATAAAATATACCATTATGTGCAAAACAAACCTTTGAGCTTGACATTACAAGAGCAGCTGAACATGGCTATAAATAATGAGATGAAATTGAAAACATTACCAAAAACAAATCGAAATATTATGGACTTGACTAAAATGATACGAAAAGAAATTTCTATATTTGAGGATGACGGTATACGTGGTACCATATTGAAGTTGATATACGATTATATTTTAACTATTACCCCAACGAGTTACTTTGGGTTTTAATGTTTTTTGTTGAGTATTTGTAAATACCGGTATATCGGTTTTCACTAAATCTAATACCGAAAAACCGGTATTTAATTTTTGGTGTGGTATTGGAAGCCCTAATAATAACGTAAAATATGGGATCGATATTCGGAAAAAGATTGCACAGAAACAATAGAATTTCTTAAAAACGTGTGAGGTTGTGGGATTGATATTCGTAAAAACAAACTATTTAACGTGACGAAAACGGTACTCGAGTGAATTAAATAATCGTAAAGGTGAGTTTCCACTCATGCGTTTTTGTACGGGAAAGGGAAAAATAATCACGTGAGCATGCGTAGTTTTACTTCAGACAAATTAAAACTTATAATACGCATGCCCACGTGATTTTTTTTCCCTTTTCTTTTCCGTTCCCGTGAAAAAACGGATGAGTGGAAACTCACCTTTGGCTATCTTACTAAGAGATTTTCACAAAAACTTATAAGTTATCAAATCGAAAAATGCAACTACAACTACTTTTTCTTATTTGTAAGCGCATTTTTAAACATAAGTCATTATCAATTATTTTGACTATTCACTTAAAAAAATTTAATACTTTTTTTTAATATTGAAACAAATTTCTTTTATTTAAAAGAATGCCTGCCCAAACGTAAAACCACAGTCAATGTATGTAAACTGCACTAAGCCTATCCCTATTTAAGTCTGTCGATTTATGTACCCTTTATAACGCCCTACTGCTATATCAATCAATTTGTGTACTTATCGGTACATTCATTCTATGAAACTTTGAAAAATAAATAATAAACTCTTTTTCAAAATTAAAATAAACTTTAACTAAGTATTTTTAAAATATGATTAAAGAAATTTATAATTTGAATAAAATAAATAATTTTGATTATTAATAAAATAGTATGAAAAAAACAACAAACTAATAAATATCTCTTTATTAAACAATCTATACAATTTGTTATTTTATTTTGCATTATCTTTTTTTTACGTTTAGCACTGCAAATTAGTAGCTTTAACACAAATATATTATCAAAAATTTCAGTTTTATGACAAAAGTTTTAGAAAAACAAAACTTTATCGTGTATTTTTAACTTACGTTAACAGAAAATTGCAAAATTTATTCCTTTTTTTTTCTTTTTTTTTTTCATTTAATATATTTTTTCTACGTTTGACGTTATATACAAATACAAACAAGGCTTTTAAAAGAAGATCACAATAATCCTATGATCAGTGTGATCTTCTTTTAGAAGCCTTGATTATATTTGTAATAATTTTTTTGTTTATATTTGTAAAAGGCTTCAGATGATAACACAGAAGCCTTTTACAAGAAAGAGTACTTAAAATAATATAAAAACGCCATTTTACAAGACTGTACGTAAAACCAATAAACCGTACTTAAATATATGAATATAAATTGTATTTATGTATTGAATATGCATAACTCGAAATAATAAAACATTATTTCGTCAAAAGATAAATTAATTAAAAGTAATATGTTATTTTCAATAAAGAGAATAAAATCGTTAAATTTGTTTTTAAAAACAGCATAAGTTAGGGGTAAGTCAAAATTAAGCATTAGCATATAGCGTTTTCATCAAACGAATAGCGAATGGCAAATAGCTAATTGTTAAACTTCAATACCTAAATTTAACAAAATACTTTCCGATAGGCAAATAGTATTATTCGTTTAACGAATAGTAATATTAATAGTACAAATAGTACTAATTGTTAAACATATAATACTATTTATCTACTAGTAGTGCTATTCGTTAAACAAATAGTACTATTCGTTAAACGAATAGTGCTATTTGTTACACGAATAGTGCTATTCGTTAAACGAATAGTGCTATTTAATAAACGAATAGTACTATTTGTTAATTGGTATTACTTAACTGCTATTAGCATGTAGAATTATATTTGGAGCAAAAAGAACTGTGTCTTGTGAGCCACTTCTACGTAAACTCAATGCATTAAATGTGTTTAAAATCAACATATTCCTCGTCATACAGTATTTGTATCAAATAAAGCATGGACTGTCTCTAACAATATTCTATCCTTATTTTAGAGAAGTAAGCCATAAATACCCCACCAAGTTTTCAGAAAATAACTTTGTAACTCAAAAAAATTTTATTACTATATTTTAATCATTTCTTTTTTTTTTTTAATTATTTTATTACTTTTTTTTATTTCTTAACATCTTAAAATTGTCTTTTTTTTAAATGTTGTTGCTTATATATTACGGACTATTATATATTACAGATAATTATTTGTGTTACTATTTGGGCTCGGCTAATTTTGTGATAAAGCTAAGCTCTTCTTGCTCCAGCCAATTGTACTTTTTATATTGTTGTACATTGTGAATAATTTTAACAGCGAAATAAACTAATAAAACTAAAAAAAAACTAAAAAAAAAAACTAAACTATCCGAGCGGGCATTTGTTTTTAAAAGTTACGTTCTAAATGTATTTTAAAAGTCTTTTAAACGTCGTAAAGAACGTTTAAAAGACATTTAAAATACGTTTAAAAGACGTTTAGAAGACATTTAAAGCGTGAATTTTAAAAACAAATGTCCAAAGGGATTAGTTAAATAGCACTGGTGCTATTCGTTAAACGAATAGTACTTTTCGCCTTCTATTTGTTTAACAACTAATACCAATCGTTTAAAAACAAGCACTATTCGTTTAACAAGTTGTACTCTTCGTTTAACAACTAGTACCATTTGTTTAACGACTAGTACTATTTGTTTAATGATCAAATAAATGAATATAAATTGTAATATTAAGGAAAAGAGGGTAGCTACGGATGGCGGATAACTCCGGACACTCCATGTACAGCTTTAACTAAAGAAGCTATGTGATTTTAAATACTATAAAAACATTATTTGAGTGAAAAAAATGGCATATGCAAAATATTTTTCATAATATGCCGAAGAGATTGGCAGCAAGTGCAAGATATTGTTTCCTACCACCAGAAGAGAGATGTATCATTTTAATTCACATAATAAGATGCCAATGTTATTATGTGAATTATGTATTATGTAAAATAATAATTTTTTAATAATTAAACACTTTTATTTCAAATTTTTATTTAAAAAAAAGTTCGTTTAATACTTTAATTCACTGGTTTTAAAACTATTATTTGTGAATGAGGTATGATCAGGTGTATATATACCAACTTGCATATTAAAAATGAGCATCATTTTTTATATAAATAATACTATATTTAATATAATACACAAACCCATTATATTATTTCATTTAATTTCAATAAAATGACTTAAGATTTGAAAAAAGTTATTTTTTTGTTTTTTATTCATTAGATAAATGTTTATACTTTAAAAAAAATCTTTTGACACTTTTTTTTATCTATTCATGCATACGTACAATTTATTTATTAAGTGTCCGGAACTACCCAACATTTCCCTACTATTTTCAAATAGAAATAATTTTTTTTAATTGCATTAAATTTTTTTAAATTATGTACCAATGACGGATCCAGGATTTTTTGGTGTTTGAGATTTCCAAACGTGGAACAAACTCCAAACATTAGTATTACTTATGTTGAAAAATGATGATTTGCAAAAAATTGTGATGGTTGGGGGCTGGGAACAAAAAGCTCTTTAACTTCATTCCCCCTCCCTATCCCAAACGTCGGGGACAGTAAGTATA